CTTATGCGAAACCCCCTGGCACACAAATTAGCAGTTATATGACAAGTGAGGTGAATATATATATATATATATATATGTGTGCACATATATGCACATATATGGATTGTTTTATTAACCGTGCGTGGTGTCCTGTGCAGCTGGGGTCTGAGCCATGCCAACGTAGGTCATCGTCACTTACACTACATAACCCTGAATCTTTTCTTTAGTAGGGCTGAAATTTTGGAGCAGTTGAAGTCTCTATACAACGCTGAAAGCTCATCAATTACTGTTAAGCAACTTGTCGATATGTATGAGGGCGACGAAACGGCACTCGCTATTGTGTATGACTATGTTGCCGACCAGTGGCTCCCACTGTTGGCGAGGCCTCGACCAACGAATTGAACTGCTTTCTCAATTCTTCTAATGACTGCTGTATTGAATACTGTAATAAAATACAGAAGTATAAAGATAATTGCCCTTTAATCTATAGCCTTAATAACGTCTGTTGTCTGGTTTGCGATAGTCAGTAGCATCGGTGAATTTTCAACTCGTCCCAAATTCACGAGGTTACGTTTCGTGCTATCTTCCCAATTAAAGTGATCATATTGAAACTCGCATTAACCGATAATCCAGTTAGCTACGAGTACGCGAAAAGATATTTATTTGGGCGCTTCCATCATCCAATTTACTGACCAATTTCAAGCCAACATGGACGCATTAATTAAGTGTCGTGTTCGAGAAATGGAAAATCAATGTCGATAAACCGCTGTTGGCACTTGTTAAAGGATTAAGGTGAACAACTAAAAGCCTCATTGGGAACATGCATAAATCTTAATTGGACATATTATTTGGCGAGATTTTCAGGTACTGAAATCTTCCGGCGTGGCGGTTTTGGCCAGCTTAAAAAGTGCATTGCTTCACTGAAGCGTCTTTATATCAAACTAACCTGCGCAGAGTGTGATAGGCAGAGCTAAGTAGAGAATGAGCATTGCTCCATTTTGACCATTTCTGCCTGAATTCTGCATGACACTTTTCACCAATGCTTGCAAGTGTTTCAATTGAAATTGTTCGTACCGATGGAAGATGCATCCAAGTTGGAAACAGTGCGCACGTTGTTTGGCAGATCTTCGTTTGCATGTAGCAAAAAAGTCTACATTTTACCATATTTGAACTGCCATGCATGCAATATTTCCTCTTTCACCAAGCGCGCCTTTAGTATCGTAATTGCAAAAAAAACCGAACAGACCAAAAGAAAGGATTTGTAAATTTGATCCTTTTATTGATCCCGCTGTGCAACATTTGTGGCAAAACGAGTGGTCATTTTGATCAACAGAAGTGCGCTAAACGATTCTCTGGTGCTACTGATTCAGTGAAGGCACCGTCGACATTTTTCTTGAATTGACAAATGCTGGACATTCATAAGTTTACAAAACCCGAAACTTGCCTAACCTTTTTGCCTCAACTAAGCTCTAAACACTTTAAGCACGCATTTATTAAAAAAAATTACTACGTAATGAAAAGTAGCATTCTGATTACTGACATACAGTTGTGAATTTTGCATTTGTATAAATGAAAGATGTATGATAAACTTAGCCATTTTAGAGGTGCATAGATGTTATGGGCGCAACCGAACTTAGGTCTTATAAGCACAAAACAAAAGAGAAGAACATACAGACAACTGAAAACTTTCCATTTTAATGAATAAGTGCTTTGGACGCTTTGACCAAACGTGCTGCTAAGTAGCAAGCAAGTAATCGTGACGTCAGCAAACAGGATTTTCCCCGTCAATGAATGAAATTGGTGCTGATTGTTGATTATTAGGAGCTAAATAAAATTCATTTACGTTTGGTTGAAACTTGGTGTAAAATAATAACTCGATGAAGTAACCACTTTGCAAACGAAACTTCCTGTGTGCCATTCGGGTATGGCAATCGTCCACATGATCGTCGGGTGTGGTGCTGGATGAAAGTGAACCTTCACCATTTTACTTTTTTTCTGATGCTTTAGTGCCATACACAAATATCACGCACACATTGATACCGCACTTGTTCGGTTGACATGGTGGGCACTTACCAAGCTCACATTAATTATATGTGAATAGCTGAACACACTGACGTTTACAGTGCAATCATTATGTAGGGTAAACAGTGCGAATATTAAAGGTGTGACTTTTCTTTTACTCGTGATTGCAAACACGAAGTGCAAATGCTGCTTAAAGAGGTCACTAAAATTGAGTAGTGTATTTGCATGTGGCAGAATTTAAATTTTGTAGAACCACTAATGAGCTTCAATGTAGCATCACCGGATGAACGGATTCAAGGTGCTGTTTTCCAAAACCAATCAGACCTTTGTTTTGCCAGCCGGAACTCTTTGTGCATTATGGGAATGCAGTCATTCATCGGTCGCTTTAGCTTTAACAGACCTCTGTTGTGTGACTGGAGTGTGCGGTCAGCGTATATATGACAACACAGTGTGGTTGTGACAAATCAATTTGCAATTTAGCACAGATGTACACGACACAATGTTAAAAAGTGTAAGGAAGATGAGACATTAGGGATTCTGCAGTGAGGGAAATTCCTGACAAATTTTCACCCATCAGAAACGTTGTGCACATCAACTAGTTGTTATTAGCCAACCCTAAATATACCTTAGCACCCAAAATCACTCCTGTCTTAATAATTTAAGTCGTAAATCTAACCAGATTGGAAAGCAAAAATAGTAATGCAAACGGCTGTCAATCTAAAGGCCTACGCCCTCATAGGTTGTCGGGTGCTATATAAATTGCATTCAAACCAAAGATCGTTGAGGGGCCACACAAAGGAAGACAGTTTGCGCAAGGGATATTGGGCCGTAAGCTAGAATACGGTCCCCTGTCTCTCTGATATTCACACAATCCAAAATGATCAAAGAATTGTGAAAGCACTGTTGCGAAACAGTAGTTCTCAATGGCAGGTGTGGGTCAAATTTAAAAACTACACATCACTTACCCTGCAGTATCATTAGTGATGAAACATGCCACCTTAAAAAAAGAGGCTTAAATTTGTGGCTGTCTCGAAAAGACATTTGATAATCAAAAACCAGCCCTGTATAGCAGGTGTGGAGCAAGAAACAGACATCGCAGAACATACAAACTAATTAAGTGCACATCGAGAGCATTCACAAAGAAAGTGAGTGCACCAGTAGACTGAATTTCCTCTGCAGATGATCGTTAAATGCCTTTTAGGTTTTTTAGGAGTATATTTCAGCAAATGGCTTCTGAAGATGCGAAGAAACACCAAAACAGTGTCATGATTTTTAATCTGACGCAGTTATTTAAAATAGGTAACAAATGACATTTCATGGGCCTTTACAGGGAATATTGGCTTTGGCGTGCAACCCTAGGCACGAAGCAAATATACAGATTTCAGCAGCTCTAATTGGCACTTTTAAGTTACAAGTCAGTGCAATTAACGAGATAAAGAGTTATTGCAGAATAATGGTGCATCTATAGCCACCCAGAATTAAGAATTCCTGCAGCGCTGTTGTGTGCAATTTAAACACCACCCCACACTCAAGGTCATGCGGCACTAGTTTGCAGCGCCTCGATTTAGCACAAGGCATGCATGAAATGTCTCTCCCTCTCTGTCATTTCCAAAGACACATGTTGATGTTAGTGATGTCGTTATAGGAAGTGGTGTAAAATAGGCAATTCATCAAATGCGGTAGAAATGATGACGTGCTTCGTGGCGCTGCAGGAGCACTAGATAATTGGTGAAAACAGGGGTCACATGTGGAACCAGCATCTCAATAAGCTTCCTCAACAGGTGGTGCTAACTCTGCTGAGTGAAAAACATGTCGGATGGCAATGTATTCGCCTATCCGCAAGGCAGAATCCACCACTGAAGTGGAAAGAGTAGTGGTAGCAGCAACATATTGGGAATTTCCAGTACAATGTACAGCAAACTGAGTTCCATGCTGAGACCTCTGCCATCGCAGCATTTCTCCCATCAGCACTTCCATGTCCCCTAAAGATCTTGGTACCCACAACAGCCATGGTCAACCGCACCCTTCTCATTCCATAGTTGTCGCAATGGAAGTTGCGATGGCCAACACAGCAATCTAATTCTGCACACTTTGAATGCTGCTATGCAGAATACACTTTCGCACCAAAAGCACACGCGTGTAGCTGCCATTGCACAGTGAGACGGCCATTTCAGATTGATGATGTGCCTGTCAAAAAGGTCAAGTTGTCCTTGATGGCACTCGCAAATATGCAGCTTTGCAACAATCAAACGCAGCTCAATGCCGTGATGTTGGTGGGTTTGAGATGGAACAACTGACCGAGCACCAATTTTGATAACGGTGATCAACGGGCATAGCGCCAACGAAACGAGGGTACGAAATGTGTCACCGTATTTGAGCATTGTTCACGACTACAGATTATGTGGTTTCAAAGCCACGATGAGATTATATTTTAGAGGTAATATCAACAATAACGAAGACACTCGATTTGCTGATGCAATTTCATGTTGCCGAATTCTTAATTCACTTCGTCTCTGCCAATATTGTACAGTCCTACTATTTAGTCACTGTTACATGGCGTGCCTTTGCAGTTGAGTGCAGTTGTAATTGTCAAAACGTCCCTTCAAACGGCATAATGCCCAGGTCCATTAACTTGCTGCATTATATATTAATACTGCCTTCTTGTCTCCACATCCTCACGGCGTAATTGGCAATCATCGTCAGCATTTATAGTTCCCAGTATAACATTTGTCGTTTTCTCAATTCGAAGGAAATAAATTTCTTTGCACGTATTTTATTCAAGTCATGCAAGATGGAGCTGAGTTGTCCAGCAACCTGATAGAAATGTTTGTCAACATAAGAATTCAAAGATTGCCCCTGATCACAATTTGGACACGGAATCATTTCAACTTGGATAAGTATGCTAATTGGCTGCTGTAATGAAGGCACTTTTAACGCACAATGTATTCTCTGAGTATGTAAACATCCACGTCACGGAATAAAGTGCTAAGTACTAAAGTGCACTGAACTGTTAATTATTTTAGTTTATCGGAATGCACGTGGCACACAAACTGGCCATTAAATTACAAATGAAGTGAATATATATATGCACACTCGCACAAATCGTGCATGGATTTCTTTGGAAGTGGGGTCTGAGCCATGCCAACGTAAGTCGTCGTCGTCGTCGTCATTGGTGATTTTTAACTCTGTTTCTTCTCTTTAGTGAGGCTGAAATTCTGGAGGATGCGAAGGCTGTCTTCGAGGGAGGCTTTAAAAAAGATGCTTTTTTGGCAGTCACTAAGAAATATGAGAACGATGAATTTGCAATGAGCGTGTTGCGTCGCTATGCTGGAAAGAGGATTTCCGATGCATACTCGAAGGCCAATGCAAGAAATTGAACTGCCTTCCTAATTCAGTTACCAATTGCTCTACTGATTGCTTTCCTTAATTTCTGACTTTTATTTCCTAAACTCTCTTTGATGATTTTCTTCTAATCTATGGGATTACTAATATGACTTTGCAGCTTGCTATAATCAGTCGCCTAGTTGAGGGGACTTGTGAGAGTGATGTGTTCCCCATGGGTTGAACAGACACCTCGCTTGTCTACTTTTGTTTTATCGGTTATATTAAGGTGCATAGATCGCGTTGCTTCATTTGTACATGGCTTGAGCGCATTTGGAAAGATATGTGAGGATTCCATTTGTAGTAAGAGATGAATATTTTGGTGGCGCTGGAATATCGATAATCGGCGAATCGACATCTTGTCGTCCAGTCACGAGGTTACTTGGCGTGCTAGTTCGTCACAAAAGTAGGTATATTGCACTTCTCATTGTGCGCCAATCCGATTTTCCACGGGTACGCAAAAAGACGTGTCAGTGTGTGTTTCCATCATTCATGTGGACGCAATAATGCATCGTCGTGTACGAGAATCGGAAGACCAATGCCGATGAAACGTTGTGTGCAACTGTTAAAGGATCTATATGAAAAACGAATGGCCACATTAGACACTCCAGCAAGACTTACCTAGCCATAACATTAAGCTAGGCTCTCAGGAATGTGAAACTAACAACGTGATGGTTCTAGGCGAAATGTTACGTGCATTGCTTTACACAGGGTTCGTTATATCCTGTAAGTACTGCACAGATTGTGTTTAGTGGAGCCTGCTACAAAATGAAATGCGTTCAAATCCCGTCAATTTATCGTCAGAATTCAACGTGGCAAGTGAACCGGCCCAAGGGATGTGTCGTTGCTCTTGGGTCACTAGAGCGCTATAACATCATACATTTACGAATGTGGGATTTCGATGATTTCACGAAACTCGAAGCAGCCCTTTCTTCTTCTTCTTCTTCTTCTTTTCCTTTACTACGCTCAGACTACTCGGAGCAGACATGTGTGAATAGGAACCAATTTGAAAAAGTGAAATTTCGCGAATTGGCATGCCTTAGTTGATCTCGCGTTTGTAAATATAAAGAAAGTGTTTTGTCCTATGGCCTTTCAGAAATGCATTGATAAAATGGGCACAAGCTAACTTAGTCCTTATAAATACATACTCTTTTCCTGCAAATGCTAATACATTGCCATCCGACATGTTTTTCACTCAGCAGAGTTAGCACCACCTGTTGAGGAAGCTTATTGAGATGCTGGTTCCACATGTGACCCCTGTTTTCACCAATTATCTAGTGCTCCTGCAGCGCCACGAAGCACGTCATCATTTCTACCGCATTTGATGAATTGCCTATTTTACACCACTTCCTATAACGACATCACTAACATCAACATGTGTCTTTGGAAATGACAGAGAGGGAGAGACATTTCATGCATGCCTTGTGCTAAATCGAGGCGCTGCAAACTAGTGCCGCATGACCTTGAGTGTGGGGTGGTGTTTAAATTGCACACAACAGTAGTGCAGTGTTTTTCGTGCACCAACGCTTAGATCTTGTATGCTCTAGATGAGATGACAAGTAACAATAATCGAGGTGCTCTGTCAACGTTTCGCAGTAAATGCATTTGACTTCAACTGAGTCACCCTGACTGGCACATCCTGTTGTATAATATATTGTTTTCGTGAATACACATTTTGCGTATTTTCCACTGAATGTGAGAGTTGCTGTGGAATTTGTCTTAGTATGCTAAATCCATAGATGTTGGTGGATATCGTAAGCTGCACGTTTCTGTGTCTCCAAATGCTATTCCCTTTTACTAATCACAAAGTGAGTAAAATAATCAGTCTTGACCATGAAGTGGCGGGTAGTTTGAGCCAAGTCACACTCGAGGGAGCATTAGGAAAGGCCGCAGTTAAGAAGAAAGGTGGTTTTAGTAAGTGCTGAATCTACAATGCCCACTAAGACTAATTTACTTATCAACGATCCTAGCACATCTTGCTGTCTACGCGCGTGTGCTTAAAATTACAACTGACAGTCAGCGAATCTCTCATTTCGATTTCATTGGCTCAAACAATTCCTGAATTTCGCACATGATATCTGCGACCACTTGTAACTTGGCTAACAGTTGTAACCCTGGTTTTACCAGGATGATGATAGGTAGTTATTTTCCTGAAATCTTGTTATGTAAAATGACGCTAGAATGCACCACTGTATGCCAGTGCATGACAAAACATGACCTCCAGCAGGCAGCTTATAATGTCTCAGCCACGGGTCAAGTGATCTGTTTGGATGTGCCCACTTATACAAAACAAAGCTGACATTCATGTGATTAATGAAGGCAGATTAACACTGCTGGATCTGTCAGTAGTGTGCTGTGGACGACTTAACCACCTCCGTACTTGTGTTAGATGAATTGTGTGCACAATGATAACATGCTCACCCGCGATGAGCCGTCTTCACTGGTGCTGCATCCCCGAAATTGGAAGTAGATTTCAAGCACACGTATTGCAATTTCAACTGCGACCTATCAGTTGTGAATAAGTTTCCAGGTGCTGGTGTGTGATAGTGGTGATATTCTAGGTGTGTGCTCAGGTCAGCCAACGATCTGGTGAAGGGGCGAATTCAGCCACTGGCTTTCCTTTATTCGAAAATGCAAGCAAAGAATGAGGAGTGTGACAACGTGTTTTTTATTCTGCTGCTGCTGCTACTGCTGCTTCTACGTCCATTTAATGTCCAAACTAACTGACTGAATGTCATCTTCGAACCCGCAAACTTTGTCTGCTGTTTGACCACGCCAGTCTCATGATGGAATGGGTGAGGGCCCTGTGTTTGTCATTGGTTTAATAACGATTACCTCGGCAGCAGAAGCGTGTCGAATTGGTGGGATTGAGACAGCGAATTACCGCTGGTTCTTTGCTAGAACAGTTTGTATGAAAGCTGAGATTTTTCATCGGAATACGTGAATGTGTTTACTGCTGTGATTTCATGAGTTTGGTTTGATTGCATGCATGTTGTTTGCGTGAAAATCTGTCATCTTTAATCATCAGGCTCTGTTTTCGACGTAAAAGAGTGTAGTTGCGGTTGATTTGCCTACAAAACCTGTATGTGGGCGACACTGTACAAGATTCAGATGGCTGTGAGTCTGCTAATCGAAACTAGCCCATATGGCTCCAAGCTCAAATGCTATTCACCCTGGAAACCACGAATTTTAGTGATACCATTGTTATATTTATTAATACACACATTTGCAGAATGCTGAGGGGCTGTATTACGCAAACGTGTTAGGACTAATAAAACTCACTTTGACACGTTCTATTCAAAACAATTTAAAGGGATAATAACGTAACTCAGGTCAACCACAATTTAAGCAATAGCATGATTAGGTCATGCTTTTGCACTCGAACTACTAGCGCCCTTGACACAACCCGAGTTGGGTAAATTAACCTACTACCACACTGCATTGCTGGATCTGCGAGGGAATTAGCTGCACTCCGTTCTAGTAGTGAAGGCTTTCGTCCACTTATGCTAAAGTGATGTTAATCCATGCAGCGACTTAAAATGCCACCTTTTTTTGAAATGCCTGCATTGGTTAGGTGGGTTTCTGTTTAAACAAAAGCAGAAAATATGGGTTTTAAATCGCCAAGTATTACCGCATGCAAAGTTTCCGAGGTCTTGCATATTGCTAGACAACAAGTCGTGTGCGAGATGTGAGTCCGCAGTGCACTGAAATGCAATGCATTCGGTAGTATGGCATCGATGTTTTTTAAGATAAACCAATGGACAATCTTAGGCTTCTTCGCAAATCAAATAAATTACGATGGGCTGCACTTAACGTCCAAACGCACGCTCCCTTCAGCTCGTCTCTGTGAACGTTTTCAAAATTGTGTTCACTGCCATTTTGCAACTTGATATTGTGCATAAAATTAAGAGAAGTGTGCCGAATACAATCTACTATGCCATTACTGTGCTCCGAAATGTATGTCCTGGCTGACTCCAGTTAGTCATTTTCATGGTGCTGCAAAGTAACGTCAGTAATTTTTGTCATTTCACCACAACTAGTATTACTACTCGCACAAATTAATTTGACATTGAATATTCTGCTTCAAGCATAACTAC